ATTTATATAAAAGAAATAACAATTCTAGAATTAGTATTTTTTTTCATACATAAATTTAATAAATTTTTTACGGAATAAATATAAAAACTACCATGGTATAACATTTTATTTAAACAATTTTTTGACTAAAAAGTGTGTAATATATATAAAGCCAACAATATTATTTATTAACTGTTATACAACTTTAACTACTGTTAAACCATTGAAGTTTTACCTCGAAATAATATATTTTCTATAAAGTATAATTTATTTATATGTATTATAATAATATAAGAATTTCTATTTTGTTCAATAATGTAATAATATTATACTATTGATTATAAATAATGTGTTATATATTTTGAATAATTTTTCGTCTATGAAAGTACTAAGAGTGAGCTATCTGAGTAACTGACTTAAGATTTAGAATTAAATAAAATACACTCATATAAAACATATAAAATTTGTTAAGACAAGAAGCTCGCACTAAAACTTAATTTACTAAGGTATGTATTAGGAAGGTTAAGCTGTTTTTAACAAAGTTCAGTTCGTACCGGGCTAATCTGATATTATTAAAATTGAGTCCGGTCCAAAAGTCTATTTGGGACCTGTCGTAATATTGATTTCGTGTTTAAAACCGGAATTATTTAACAACATTGATCACGCACATTTGCTGTGAAATTTAAAAAAAAAATCAAAATTTAATAAATTATTACCTAAATAAAATTAAAAAAAATTAATACTTTTAACCAATACATTATATGTATTAATGTGTTCAATTGTATTCAATATATTAATATAATTAAACACATAATTAATTAGCACATGTTAATCAAAACTGAAAAATGAACTCAGAGTTCAATTAATAAAATTTTAATAGGATAATCTTAAGGACTATTTGGAAGAGGGGTGTGAATTTAATTTTAAATGGATAACAATCAGGTATTTAAGTACCAGATGTTTATAGTGATTATTTAATGATGTATAAATTTGCAGCGTATGAGCCTTCAAGTTGTAAAATTGAAATTACATTTTTTTATAATTAAAATATCTTTTGAACGGATTGGATCGGGTGAAAATTTTATACATATATTTGGACAGTACCGGATGGGGTCAAAAGCATTCCATATATATTCGGACATGAATACATATGAATTTGTTTCAATAGGTATGAGTGTACGCTTTATATTCATACAAGGTATTTCAAAACAAGTTTTCGAAAACAAAATAAAAATTATGATCCTGTTTTCACAATAAAACGAGTTCCATTAATATTATTGAATAAAATAAAAACAAGAGTAAAAAAAAATATATCAACATTAATAACGATTAATAACTAGACAGAAAAATAGCACAGTTACAATACACTATTATAGTGTAAATTTAGTATCTTTTATATTATACTTGGTTACTATATGTAAACTATTGTGTTTAATGGATATTTCTAATTTTTCTATTTGAATAAGTAAGTTTTTATTGTAGAATTAATGTCTAGTAATTAAATTATTTTTTGTTAAATATTATTTAATTTGATTGTAATAGTATATATTATGAATAAAGATATCAATTTATTCTGTCAAAGTACATTGATTGGTCCATAAATAATTATTGAATTACGATTTATATGTTCTATATCACATAATAATCTTGGTTTTTTACTATCAATGTTTTATACAGAGTGTTCAGTAAGTCAGGAAACGGGTTTCTATTGTTCTCATTGTTTGTAACAATGAGAACAATAGAAACCCGTTTCCTGACTTACTGAACACTCTGTATAAAACATTGATAGTAAAAAACCAAGATTATTATGTGATATAGAACATATAAATCGTAATTCAATAATTATTTATGGACCAATCAATGTACTTTGACAGAATAAATTGATATCTTTATTCATAATATANATAATTGTATGTTTAAATTGTAAACAAAGTATATTTTCTTCAGAAGGAAATTAATACTGTTTTTATTTTACTTTAACCGTTAAAAAATAATTGCGATTATTTTTACTCATTGTATGACAAATATTTAAGTTTTAATTTCATCTACTAAGTCATTATTGAAATAATTGATAAAGTACTAAATATTAATGCTATACTTAAATTTGAATTAAAAAACTTGTATTAAAAATAACAAATTTATTTTCATTATTGTTTTTATGAAGTAAAACGTCATTTCAATTATAAAATATTAATTTTGTAAAATATAATTGAAACATTTAAAAAAGTATAATATTGTATAAAAATACTTACAACAAATGTTGTTTAATATGGTTTTTCAACACTTCCGTTGGGCTTGGATACTAACAGAATATTGTCGTAGCTATAATCTACCGGTTTTGGTCAATGCTCTTTTCATTTAGAATTGAAAAATTAATAGAGTAGGGGTATTTAATTACTATTCTTGATGCGTTAATCGCTGGTTAAATGAAAAATAGGGTTGCTATTTTTTTATAAATAATTCATTTTACCTTTGATAATTTTATAAAGTAAAATGTTTTTACTATTTTCTGTAATTATCTACAGAAACTATGACAAATAAAAGTCATCTTATATTTTTTTGTAAAAATACATGGTAGTTTAACATAATAATAACATATGAACTGCTGTAACGTAATGAATATATAATACCTATAAGTATTAAACAAATATTAATGTTTAATTCCTAAAATGAGTAGGCGTAGTTTAAGGCGTATTAAAAATAAAAAATGAAATACTATTTATTAATATATTGAAAACATTTATAAATTAGTGTAACAATATAAAAAGTACAAAATATACACAGCTTATGATTGAAGCACTTATGATTGTAAAATTTATAGTTATCTAATAATTGATTATACATTCGCCTTCTTGGTCCTCACACCATTCTGGAAGTGTTGTTTCTGGTCGAATTCCAAACGCCTTAAGTCTATTACGATGTTCTAATAATCTAAAACAATGGAAATATCAACCTTTAATGTCATAATGTAACTTAAATTTTATGTAGGGTTAAACGACAATAAAATAATAAAGAGAAGACAACTGCAGGCATCATACATTTATGCTGTCTAGCCATAACACATAGCATACTTTAAATAGTTTTTGAGATGTCTTTATAATTATTTAAGTCAATAATGATCAATACTAAATTGATTTGAAAAATATATACTCTACAGAAATATTTTGCTGGTAATTAATAATTAATATGTTTTGTGAAACATGTATATGATATGACATGTAAATAGTTTTCTAAACTATAAAATTATGACATTATTTTGAACATAATATTATATTAACGTATAAATAAATTATTGTTACCTGTATTCAGCAGATAATGCAGAACTAGTAGGATCTGTCCACAGTCTTTCAGCTAAAGCTGCAGCTCTGGGCCATACTTTAATATCTAAGCCAGACTCATCGACGTATTCGGTCCATAAACAAGTCTTGAAAAACATATATATTAAAATTATAATTTCATAGGTACGTGTCCTATAACTGCGATTGACTTATCAAATTTTTTTGGAAAAAAAAGTGCTAAATACAATACGTACGTTTTTTTTAATTAAAAAATAAAATGTTTTTCTTATTCAAGAAGAACAATGAGATATATTTTTTTAACGTAGTATAAGAATGCGAAAATTACCAAATAGAATATAGCGAAATTATAATTGAATAAAAGTTATACGAATTACCAGTTAGATCTTATATAGCCAGTTTATTGTTTTAGTATTACAATTTATATAAGAGATGTTTTAAAGATAATATTTTGGATTAAATTTCTTTTTAAATTTTTATTTAGAATTAAAATTAAAACTTTATAAACTATTGCATATAATATTAATGCAAGGTGTAATCAAAAATACTTTTACAGGGTTTTAGAAATAATACCAAATTCATCTCATGATTTCAAATTATATTTTATCAAATTTGAACTAAGATACATGAATGAATCAAGACATTTTTTAAAGGGCACAAAAAATTTTAAAATTTCAATTTCTCAATCAATTATTTTGCCGATTTTATCATTTATAGACATATTTTCTCTTTTTTGTTAATCAATAATAGTTTAAAAGAGTAGAATGCCTTTTACGCCTTACTAACTAGATCTATCACTACCAAGATAAGTGATTATTCTTTGAGAGTCACTGAGGTGATTTTGAGGTAAGAACAATCATCAATGTTTCTAGTTTTATTGAATTTTTTGAACACTATTAATCATTGGATAAATAATGATTACTAATTTTATGATACAATTTTTAGTAACACATCAATGGTCCAGCGAACAGAAAAGATATGAGACATTTTTAGCGAAAATGTGTTAAAATATGAAATAAATAATGAAAACTAAACGCTTTCTTGTATACCAATAATAACTATTTACTTATAAAATGCATAATACAAAGTGCATTTTAAATTTTCTAATAAATATTAACTCATATGCTAATTAAAGTTTTAAATTAAGCTCCTGAAAAATTCTTAAAAATAAATTTACCCCCTTTGTATGCTAGTTCATTAATATCATATTTATTTGCTGTGTGGTGTAATTTTGGGATTAAAACATTTTTATTATCAACACAATAAATTTTCGCCTAATAGTAGGTAATAACTTTTTGAGACGGGCTGGATGATATAAAAAAATTACTCAAGTAAATAACATATTATTATAAGTTTAGTATTCAATTTTTATAGAAACGACATAAAAATCGTATAAAAATAAGACTTGATTTCAACTTAAATTATAAAATGTATATTTGATTGGTTTTAAAGACAAAAATGAATATTTTGTTAAAAGTACTTTTGGCGTGTCATCGATTTCTGGTTAATGAATTTAAAATCACAAAACATTTTCTATATTCAATTCCTTATAATAAAATCCTAAAAACTTTACTGTTTCACATATTTTGAGAAAAAATTTATTAAAGTGAAATTACAATATTTTTTATAGAACGCGTGATTTTAAATTTTCCGTGAAGCTATAAAACCACATAAATCCGTACTTATTTATAATAATGTAATTAGGTAATCGTGTATTTACTTGATTGGATATATGATTATATTTTTGATTTATTTAATTATTTGTTTAATTTATTTAAATAATTACATATTAATTATTATTTTAGGTTCGCATTTAACACGTTATTATATAAATAATATTTATATTAGCGATCACTTATTTCAAGTAAAATCATTGAGTATCTAATATTCAATGGTAAAACTAATTCGCGTATGTTAAGGTTACTGGTTTTACTATATTTTTTTTCGCGTGATACAAAATCAATGATTACGTAAATATTTAATTAGCGCTAAGAATCAAGATTCTTTGGATGATTAACTATCCTATATACATAGTTCCATTTTTATGCACAAAATACTCGATAGTACTATAATTGTTTTAAGGATTTTAAATATATATATATATTTTATACTATACCTCAGCTCCTAAAACAAGGCTCTTGTTTTGAACTACAGGTATTTGTTCATCGTATATCACTTTCCAAGAATGATAATTTGTTGTTGGTCTTAACCCATGGTCTAAATAATAAATGTCTTCTACAGCAACTATAACTTTATATCCCAAACTAACTAATTCAGAGGTTATGTGTCCATCCCAAACTTCTACTGTAAATCTATTCTTATCTAGGTATTTTTCAATTATTTTTGGATTCGTTAGACCACTTGACCAAATAATTATATCCGTGTTCGAATCTCCAACTTCATCATCATATGTCTTTAAGGCTTTACTTTGAAACTCTGACCATAATTCGAAGAATGCCTCTTCGTTCAATTTTTTTTTGTTGATTTTCACCCAATCAACGATTTCAGATGTAGAATTCCAGCAGTTTATAGCTACCTAAAAATAAAATTAAAAGAGAAAGAAGACTTTCATTGTAAATAAAATTAAAATCACAATTCCTTTTGCGAAAAAAGGTGAGAAAGAAATCTATAGACTTGTAAAAGTAAGAAAGAAAAGGTTTAAAGATTATCATTATATAAGATGTATAAAAAGTGTTGATAATAAGGTACTCTCGATTGATAATGATGTGAAAAAAAGGTGGAAAAAGTATTTTGAAAGAAGTAAGAAGTAGAAGTAAGACAGAGTATATAGAGTACAAGTTTGACAAAGGAGAACAAGAGGTAGGTGAAATGAGGAGATCAGTGACAATAGGCAAGAACGTGATTGGAGAGGTGGAAAGTTTTAAGTATTTAGGGTCAGTTGTGCAAAAGAACGGTAGCTTTGACGAGGATGTAAGGTCAGGTGGGTAAAGTGAAATGGAGCGTCTGGTGTATTATGCGATAAGAGAGTTTCAATGAGGCAGAATGGTAAGTTCTATAAGATTGTAGTGAGACCACCTTTGATGTATGGTTCAGGGTGTTGGGCGGTTGATAAGAAAGTAGAACAGAGAATGAGTGTAGTAGAGATGAGAATGCTTAGATGGATAAGTGGAGTGACTAGAGAAGATTGGATAAAGAACGAGCATATAAGAGGTAGTATAGGTGTAGCGTCAATCGTAGATAAGATAAGAGAAAATAGACTTAGATGGTTTGGTCATGTTATGAGGAGAGAAGAATCGGAAGCTGTAAGAACAGTTATAGAAATGAATGTTGAAGGAAGAAGAGGTAGAGGAAGACCAAAAAAGAAATGGAGCGATACTATTGAATACGATATGAGGACAGCGAATGTGAGCGTTGATGATGTGGGAGATCCTGTTAAGTGGAAGTTTAGGATAAGGGTGGCCGACCCCAAGTAGTTGAAATTAACACGAGGAAGAAGAAGAAGAATAATTCCTTTTGTGAAAATCAATTTAATTTTAATTCCACGTTAAATTTAATTACTTCATCAGCTCCCATGTGAAAAGCTTCTCCTTTAGGAAATAGGCTAACTAAATCTTTATAAATTTTTCCTAACCAATTGTATGTATTATTATTTATAGGATTCAATTGTCCACAAGGTGGTTGCACACAATAACTTGTCCATGGGTTTTTCGCTAAACAAACGACCATATCTCCTAAACCTGCAGATGGGCCCCATTGCCATCCATATCCAGCATGTGATGGTGAATCTATTTCCATAATAATTCTAACTCCTCTAATGAGAGCATATCGCAATAGGTTTTTAATTTGACTGTAAGAATATTTTTTTTCGGGACTATAAGCGCCATATCTACATATAAAAATATACTTTTACACACATATTTTTTCCATAAAATTACGTCAATTACTAATGTAAAAATTGTAACTGTATGAATATTAAAATTTTTTTTTTTAAATATCTTATGTGCTTTAATTTATTTACTTACTTGGACATTTGTGGTACACTAGGTAAATCTAATGGAAAACTATGCGTGTCGGTAGCATGCCAATGAAATACATTAAGTTTAGAATGACCCATACCATCAATAGTTTTTTTTATTGCTGAAATTGAGAAGTAACGCCTAGAAGTGTCTAGTAGAAAACCCCGATAAGAATATTGTGGTTTATCAATTATGTGAACATCCGTAGCTATTACAAGTATTCTACCCATTGATTGCGATCCATATGTTGCTATTAACTGGCGTAAAGTTTCAAGACCGTTTCTTGCTCCGTAAACAGTCGGTGCTGTTATCTTCACAATCGTATTACCACCTTTAAACGATAGCTTGTAAAATGCTAATTTATTATAAATTAATAATTCTGAATAATTTCTAATTGATTATAATCAGTCATCATATTATGAAAAACATAATAATTAACGCAATTAAACAATTGCGATTATGATTATATACAGAATGATTCACTTATCAATAATAGTCAATTACTCACATAATATAAATAGTATTGTGAATTTTTTTGTTATTTTCTTAAAAAGATGTCATTTTTTATTTATTTATTTTTAAACTTTTACAATTCACAACTTGTGAATTATTAATTATTTTATAGGTTCATGCCTTTTGTATTATAAGGGTTTCATCTTAATTAACTTATAATACATAAATATTGAACAAGCTTAAGTTTTAGAGAATTATCTAATTGGAAAAATACTGAAACAAAACTTTTGAATTAATACTTTGGAAGTTAATATAAAATTAAGATGTGATTGAGGCACACATTTTGATGATTTTTATCATTACAAATTTGTGAGTATTGAAGAAATAGTTAAAAAGTATCTGCAGAATTTTTTTATGGCGCCTTCGATGATCTCTTTTTCTTATCAAATTTCTATTTTTGCTTCTTTCAAAATAACTCCTCAATGCCATATTTATGGAAGTGATGAAAACCTCAAGTTATCGAGGTTTTAAATCAGCATATTCAAAACGTTTTCTCTTTCATAGACACCTTTTTTTCAGCCATTTTTTTTTTTTTTGAGGGACCTACTGAGATTTGTATAGTATTACGCCTATCTGAGTCTGTTTGTCAGCTTCATTCTTTATCCTGCTCAGACATTGAATAATTATAATGAAATACAAAATATATACCTTTTGTTGTGATATTTAGCTCGTAAGATTCATCGGTATTTAATTTTATATAATCAAATGGCCCCGATGTTTGGATATAGATGATAGGCCCATAAGATACAGAAACACATTGTGGTTTACAAAGTTTTTTTAATGAACTAAAAAATACTTGAGTGACTTCTGTGAAATATTGTTTACTGAGATTATCAGGTATACTTGATAAATTGAACTTGATATTCTCTAATCCGATATCTCTCACTGATTTTCTATTAAAAATAAAATGACAGTTTTATAATAAAAAGTTAATATAGTTTATTTTATTTTGTTTTACAAACCCAATATAACTTTTAATAGTTGGTCGAGGCCACAGTGATCCATAATAACCGCAAGTCATACGACAAATACTTAAAGATCCATTAAAGAAGTTATTTTCTTTTTGGTTTGTTTGAAACGTTGACGGAATACAAACGCCTTTGACACATGAATATGATTTGCTAAAGAATGACATATTATGAAAATTATAGCATTGTCAGTATATAGCAAAATTGAAAATATCAGTGCAATAAATTGCGTCTTTTATATATCACCTTATATATGGTAAGTTGCTTTCATTAGCTTCATCAAGATTTATTAAATTAAATAGTAAAAGCCCAACAAAAAAAGGTGTCATATTTGAGATTATTTTGTCAATATTGTGGGATCACTAAAAGCTTTGAGTTTTCTGTAACATTAGAAATTAAATAAAAATGTGTATAATAATTGTAAATATCAACATAATTATGTTTATTATTTCTAAAAAAAATATTAGCTCTCTTTATTCTGTCATTTAAAATAGAGTAAAATGATTAATTTTGGTTTTTCACATTTTTACTTGTAAAACAATTTAAAATTAGAAAAAGATGATTATAAAAATTATTTTAAGTCTAATTGTGATAGTATATATGATTATTTTAATTTGAAATGAATATTAGAATTATTAATTTGAACTATTATAATTCGTAAAATATAGTTAAACAATTTTAACTACATTTAGCAGTATTCTTATTATATATATAAAAATATTCATTATGTGTAATAATGAAGAATACTAAAGGTCTTGTATACAAACCGGCCAAGGTTTTAAAAATATTAAATACTATTCTTATTACACTAAAATAATGATAATCGTTTCGCCACTGTAAAAAGTGACAAGTATAATATTACTTTTAACTATAATATATTTCATGTTTTTCAGTGTTATGTATAGTCAATGTTACGCGCGTGTAAAATCTGCCACTTTCACATTTATTAAATATACTATCATATCAATTAACGTTTAATTTGCTCCAGGAAACAATTTGAAATATATAAAACTGAAAAGTATAAATAGATTGCATCAAGTTTTTATAGTTGGCCATTATTTAAAAATATTTAGACAATAATTTTTTAATATTTATATTAAATCCGAAAAGTAGCTGTTGTTAAAGTTTTTTTAAAAGTACATAATTTATTTTTCGGATGATTATAATAACAAATACGAAAATTTTTGCAATGTTTTTTTTTTTTTAAATTGCGACTGAAAATTATTTAAAATAAATGAGGAAAAAAGTTCTTTTCGAAATTAGATAATGAATGTTAATATATCATTTTATTTTATTTTTCTAAGTGAATTGAAATGGATGATTACATAATAAAAAGCGAGTTGTGTTTTTACTGAGTAAATGGTATTAAAATTTTATTGTAATAGCTTTTGTATGAACAAATGAAGTATTTAAAACTTAAAACAAGCGAAAAAAAATTTCATAATATGCTCTGTGATTAAACACATATGAAATCAATGTTCTAAAAAAAAAATTACGTATTTATTTACTTGTAAAATGCAAAGAACAATATAGTTCATTAAAAGTGATGTTAAGTTAGAATAAGTTAGTTAAAATTACTGTCAAAATAAAACTTAAATATTAAAAAATATTATGTTTAGATTTTAGTTGATATTTATTGATAATAAATACGATAAAAAAATAAGAACGTATAGATTTGAAATAATTTATTTTAAACCTATAAAGTAAAATTAATTTTAAATAATAATAATTAAGCTAATTATTTACCTGCTAAAAAATATTTTTGGTGTTTTTTATAGTACACCTACACACAACAACTGACAATGGTACAATAGTTTTCGAAACAACTCTGTACATTTAACTTGTATGATTTTCTCTTAAAACACTTCGTAGTCCCCTTCTACAAAAAACATTGAAAGCCATTTTAACATAGAGTTTCAAACAATTAAAGATCAAAGTGACTAAAACAAATATTTTAATGCTACTGCAAGTTAATATAAACAAAGGAAGTTTGTTTATAAATTTACTATTGAAAAGAAAATTAAGTATATTGAAAAATATGTATTCACATTATAAAATAGATATGATGTAGAATACTTTATATTTGTATTCCAAATATGTGATCAAATATTCTATTCAAATACATTAAAAAAAAAACGTTTGGGGACTCGGCATACAAATTGCATTTTTTGGAAATTTCCCACATTTACTAAAAACGAAGAATTTCTTTTGTATATTCAAGGGTAATGCCTAGTAGTTTAAAATTTTTTGAGATGAAAGAAATTAATATTTGTGTAATAATTCTTTATAGTAAAATAATGCTACTCATACTATTAATAATTTACACCCTTTATATAACTGCTTAAGTAAAACTATAAAAAATTTCATAACTAAATAATTATATTAGGAAGCTTATTATGTTATGTTTCTTAGAGCACTACTTGATTTTCAGCTGACGTTAAGGTGGTTTTGAAGACAAACCTATTGAAATTATTCCAGTCCTAAAAAACTTAAATTACGTTTTTATTCTAGTTACCAAGTAATGAAAAATATCATCGTTAAAACATTTACACTTAAAATTGAAATACAACCATTTATAGCTAACTTATTAAAAATATACTTAATATTTTGTAGTTTTATGTAGACATAAATGATCTTATATATTATTGAAATAACAAATATAGAGTGGAGCAAGGCATTCTGACGCTTGGGTAAAATGATCTCTTTAGATTTAAAAGAATATAGTATTGTTAAGAAATAGTATTTTAAAATTATAATATGAACATTACGATAAAACGTCTGTCGTATAATAAAATTAAGTGAACTCTTTAATTCAAATAAACGATTTATTAACGAAATTTAAACGATTAATTTTGTAATAATAAAGTCCGATTTTATAAAAATTATTTGAAAATAAAGTCATGAGATATATTTATACTTTCATACGTAACTTTTTACTTTTAGTTAAAATTATATTTAATCAATTTTTTAGGAATAGTTGGTCCTATATTAGTTAAAAAATAATTTTCTAAATTTTTTTTTTTTTTTATGCAGTTATCAAAATTTTATGAACCAGCAGATTCTTGATGTAATAAAAATAAGTTTGGAGATTTTTTAGCTTCGATATGAAGCTTAGAAGTTATTGTATCATAATGTTTATATATACATGTATATATTTTTGTGTTTGTCACTACTTTTTCTCAGATTTTACTGAGTCATTTTGTTCAACATGGACATTATGTTACATACTATTAGTTAAAAAAAATAGAGTCGACTTTTGTCTTATGTGAAAGTGGCAGCTGTAGTTAAAAAACATTTTTGTATTTGAATTTTTTTCTTATTTAAAAAAAAAAAAAGAATTGCCATAACTTAGTAAAAATGTATGGATTAGTATTACATTATTTTTGAGAGTCCTATTTATTATAGCCGACATTCATTTTTGATTTAAAATATTATACAAACAGAAGGTTATAGTGATGAACTCACATATTATCATAAATGTTATATGAATGCAATGTACAATGAATGTAATATACAACTTATTTTGTCAATAAAATTTACATTAACAATTACATTTCATAAAAATAATTACGTCAGTCCTATAATAAGTTTAAATATAGTAAATTTTCTATAATAGGTATGATATTATGTGATTTTTTATATACATTATTTCAATCACTATAGTCATATACAGTGTGTTTTCATTGTTCAGAGAAATTCTAAAACTTTTGATCTACTTATAATTATTTTATAATTTTTTTTTTACATAATGATTACAACTTTAAACTACATTAAAATCATATTTTTTATTATTTGTCTCTAATAACAAAAAATTAATTAATTAAAATTATATATTTTTTTTTAAATTTCAAAATATTTATTTATTTTTTTATTAAAATTTTTGATGATCCATAACAAGTTAATAACAAGAATAAGTACTTCATGAACTAAAAGCATGTAATACATATAGTGAGTATGGAATACAGGAAGAGTACACGTATACCAGTACAGACTGTATAAATCTCAGTTATGTTAGTTATTGGGTAGGGTTTTTATAGATTTATTGGTTTTGTTGGGTTAAACTATTTGTATTCATTATTTCATTCTTTCCACAAAGTGCCTCAATATTTACATCGATATGTACAACATGTATTCAACTTCATTATTAACGACTTCAAATCTGTTCTGAAAATATAATTCAGCAGCCTTCAATGTGTTAAAACAGAATAATAAGTCGTTTTTCAAAGGAGTCCATTCCCTTAATATTTTATTAACACTGAGTAATCTCCCAAATAGCTTATATAAAAAGGAATAACTTTTAAAATAACTAAAGATTTACAAAATAATTAAATTAATTATAAAACATAAATATAAGACGTAATTAATTTTATTACAATATTTAATGAGTTTCTATTTGTATTTGCATTGAAGGCTCTCCATCTGTTTCTTTAAACTCCAATTCTAGATTCATAAATAATTTATAAGGCTATGAATTAATCTTTAATTAATTTTTTTTATTATATATACCTAGTTCGATTAGCTCCTCTTTTGATGGTATAAACGATTCTTCGGTGATCGGATCAAATTTAAATCCCAGTTGAAAATATTTTTCTATAATTACTGTCTTGATATAATCCCTTATTTTTCCCTTTAAGAATTTGAAAAATTCTAATATTATGCCTTGGCTAATAATGCCATTATACTCTTGAACCCACTCACTCCATAAATAATTTGTATCATAAGGTACAAAAACACAATAGTCATCAATTATAAACCGTACTTCCAAATCTATTTTTTTAAAAAATAAATGTATAATTTGTAATGCCCAAGCGTATGTAGATATACTATTACGTGATAAAGCTATTTTATTTAATCTATCACAAATATTTTCTATTTCCTTTAAGAAATTAGTAATTTTTGAGTAGTCTTTATGATAAAATGGGTCTCTTTTCGATGATGTGCTAAGTAATAAACCCAAAGCTTTGATTGCTCCTTTCATCAATTTGGCCATTGGAACAATTAATATAGATATTATGTTTATGAGTGTTTCAGTGCAAATGCATCCATTTATTAAGTCGTTTTCTTTCATTTTTTTTTGACATTTTTGTAGGATGTTGCTAATCACTACCAAAAAATTATACATAACTTTTGCATATATGCATCCAAGATATATTGTCAGAGCTTGTATTTTTATATTACATTGTTGGTGATTTGTAGATGTTCCTATCAAATGTTGACGATCATATATTTTATTTAAATATATTATAAAAGTCAACTCATTTAAATTTGTCCATCCCGAATATATTAGTAACTTATCTAACCGATCTGCATTTATTATTGCACTTGGGCATGTTTTTGCATACAAATTAACAGAAAATAATAATAAACTAAATTTAATCAATTTTAATGAAAACATTGTTATCAGTAATTATACTAATAAATATGACTGAAATTTTTCGATCAAACTATAATTCGACGAACATTAAAAGACACGTATATATTTTATTCTAAATTTATAAATAATAATATAAACATTTACAATAAAACATCTGTCTTCTTATAATGAACTTATTTGATTTTTTAAATTTTAGTTACATAAAACTAACTAAATATTAAACGACAAATTTTAAATTTCTGTTATCTAAGATAGATAAATATATTTATATAGCTTTAAAAATTATTATTTGATAATATTTTATTACACTATTCAAAATTAATTATTTTAAAATTTTTCATACTGGTCGCTATAGTGATCGGTAATTTAAATAATATAAATTATTATATTAATGTTATTTAAGCTATTGCAACAAAATCACTTTGTATTTATTTTCCAACCTATTTTTAAGGTCTACATTTTTAATGTAATGTCTATAATTTTTTATTACATATATGTATGGCTGGTGGATTATCAGATTGATAAAGTTAACAATTTTTATCAATGATACGTAATATAATGTTTACAGTCTATGAATACTTAAAAGTTAATTTTAACGAAATATATTTAAAAGTTTATTCTTCTGTGTAAACTGCTATTATATTACTTTACCGACAACATTAATTTATTGAATATCGTCTCTTTTTTCTTTTTTGAGTTACTGGATAGAATACTTTCTTAGTTTTTAAAGTTGTGTACATTACAGGTTTTAATATTAGTATATTATGTAATATACATATGACCGGTTGACGGTCATGGCAGCGACATACTCCTGTCGGCGGCGAGGCGGTTAGTCGATGATGGCGCTGATCCAACCGCAGAAATTAGCCGCTGGTATATCCAGTACGGCAAGCTTATCTTAGCTGATTCTAGCCCAGTCAGTAGATCAAAAGTTGATCCTGTTGGAAGGGACAATAGTCCAAAGACCCGAAAGGCGTTGAAGGCCAGAGAGTACAGGCGTAATGTCTCTGAATGGAAACGTGGGCACAAACGCGTAGTCGAGCGTATTCTTACGGGGATCGATTCGGGAGCAGCAATGCCCCCGTTCGAAAAGATGGTCCAATACTGGGAGCCTATAATCGAAAGCCCCCCAGTCCCCACCTCTGTGGCACTCAATGAGAGCAGAGAGACTCGCATGCGCAGTATGTTTGACCCTGTTTCGCCAGGGGAGGTTGTCAAATCCCTTCCTTCGGCAAATACAAGTCCGGGCCCTGATGGGTTTAAGGCTCGGCTATGGAGAACATTACCAATACCGTTATTAACTGGCTTATTCAACTTGTTGATCGCCACGGGGAAACTCCCGGATATTTTTGTTCGGTCCCGTACAATTTTTGTTCCCAAAAAGGGAGATGCCGGGTGCCCAGGTAATTATAGGCCGATTTCGATCGCGTCGATAGCCCTGCGGCACTTCCATAGGATCCTTGCCAGAAGGCTTGAAGGTCTGTCCGTTATCGATGACAGACAGCGGGCGTTTAGATGTGCGGACGGGGTGGCGGAGAATCTCTTCCTCCTCGATTCGTTGCTGACGAGCGCTCGTTCGTCTTGCCGGGGACTGTGTTTGGCGTCGTTGGATTTATCCAAGGCGTTCGACTCAGTATCTCACGGTTCGATCTCTGGGGCTATGCGTGGCGTAGGGCTTGACCCTCGCTTTGTCGATTATATCGACCGCGTGTATACCCAGAGTACGACATTCATTCAGGTCGGCAAGTCTTCCTCCCGGTCCTTGAGGGCTACAAATGGCGTGAGGCAAGGCGACCCTTTGTCGCCGCTTTTATTCAACCTGGTGATAGACTTCGGTCTACGAGCAATCCCAGGAGCGGTTGGCTATATGCTGGGCAACGAGCGGGTGAATGCTCTGGCGTTCGCAGACGATGTAATCCTTGTGTCGGAGACGGCTAGGGGGTTGCAAATGTCATGCGAAAAGTTCACCTCTCGATTAGCATTAGCCGGTTTGAGGCTAAACCCAACGAAGTCTGCTACTCTCACCCTGGTTCCTTCGGGACGAGATCGCAAACTGAAGGTGGCCGCCACGTCTTACTCCTTAGGGGGTTCGTCTTTGGCGGTGACCCAGGTGGGCGAGTTTTGGAGGTATCTGGGTATAGAGTTTCAGGGAAATTACCTATCTGGATTCAAGTGCGCGTCTCTTGTCAGCGCTCTGGAGGCGGTCTCGGCCGCCCCCATGACGCCGCAAATGAGGCTTGCAATTGCACGGGACTACGTGATCCCAAAGTTCGTCCACGGATTAACTTTCACGAAGCTCCCCGATTGCAAGTTACGACAACTTAGTCACGAGACTAGACGTGCGATTCGGAAATGGCTTGATCTCCCGACTTCGTGCCCCAACTCTTACATCCATGCCCCCACGTCATCTGGGGGCCTAGGGGTCGCTGACTTCGAAAGATTTGTCCCGAAAAATCGGTTCGCTAGGTTGACTAAGCTCGAACAGTCACAGGTACCGGCGGTGCGTGAAGCATTCCGTCTCTTTGGGACGGGTGTATTAGCAAACCTAAGGCGCCGTGTTGATAGGATCGCAGCGATGACTAGTCATCATGAATTACTCCATAGTTCAGTGGATGGAGCTGACCTAAAGCTTTGTCCTGGTAGCTGGGAATCTACGGCGTACATGCGCAGGCCAGATGGTATAACTGGCCGCGACTTTAAGCAGTACGCCAAGATTAGGATTAATGCCCTACCCAGCCGCAAGCGTGTTGGACGGGGGCGCAACATTCCGGTATCTTGCCGGGGTTGTGCTGCGCCTTCGGAGACCCTTGCGCACATCGTACAAGTGTGCCCAAGAACTCATGGGGGGAGAATTCTCCGACACGACCATGTCGTGAAGCGCATAGCTGGAGCGCTTACCGAAAAAGGGTTTCAAGTAGAGCGTGAGCACCTCTACGTCTTAAGGGATGGTAATCTCAAGCCGGACCTCGTCGCAACTATTGAGGACGAGTCAAGAGGTACGAGATCCGTTATCCTGGATGTACAGGTTGTTTCGGCCACCAACATCAAAGACTGGCACGAAGAGAAAGTACGAAAGTACGCCAGCCGCCTTGATTTGAAGTCCGAAATCATGGCGAGACACCAATCGACTGATGTGCATACAGTCGCCGCGACCATTACTTGGCGAGGGGTGTGGCTACCTAGCTCGTTAGAGAGCCTTAAGGCTCTTGGGCTAAGCCGCTACCTCTTGGGTGGACTTGTAAGGTCAGTCCTCCGCGGTACCCTGCTGAACTGGCACACGTTCAACAGGTCGAATAGGGTTTTCGGGCGGGTGGGTGTCGGGTGAATATCGCCGTCCCCCCGCAACACGGGAGCCTCCTCGTCTCCCCGGAATGGGTCCCTTAGGCCCAGTCCACATTCCTTTCATCTATTCCATCTTCCTGCTTGTCCGGGTCTAGGCTATTACATGATGAGTAGCCTCGGCCTACCTCCATTTTCCTACGGCTTTCCACGGGGTAGAAGCCGCCCCATCCAAGGCGACCCGCATAGCTATGAGATATGCGGGCCGTTGGGGCGCCTTTCTGATAAATATTGTACATTACAGGTTTTAATATTAGTATATTATGTAGTATAATATGTTTTCGAAAATATCTGAACCTGATCTTAAAGTTTTATTTTTTTTAAATACTTTTTATAATTATTTTCTGAATTTTGTGTTTTATTTTTATGACTGATACTCGTTGGTATAGGTAGTTATAAGAGTGGTGATGCAATGAAATGTGTTGAATCATATTACAAGCGTCAGAAATTTTTCTTCTAGTAATTCTTTGTGTTTGATTTAATTGTCCTCAATAATAGAAGGGTTAACTAAAAGAAATTTGTCATTAAATATTATTTCAGAGATAAACAGAATCCATGTATATTACAGTCATAGTAATTGTTTAGTTGGGATGTTTCACACTTATATATTTGTCAAAGGAAATAATGTTATGATGAAAATGTTTGAATTTACTTAATTAGATAAATTTTAATAGCTTTCTTACTGTAATAATGTTAGGGCATACATTTCATTATGGTATATTATTTTTCTATTATTGATATGGATGGTTACTAATACCCAGTCATAATTTTTCATATGTAAGAAAATTGTTGTTGATGTGTTTATGTATTGATTACTTTATTTTTGACATTGTTGATCATTTCTTAAGTTAGCATCTTTAAATGTATATATGATAATATTTATACATAAGAATGTCTTAAATAAAATAATTTAATATAATAACAAATTAATTTGTTAAATAATAACAAATTAATTAATTTTTGTATTTGAAATGTATTTACTTGAGTTGCAAGGCAAAATTGGCATGTTTATAATTTTACAATTTATAAATAATTAATATAATATTTGAATTAAAAACTAATTAATTGAAAGATAAAATATATATTTTGTTTTTTGTTTAAACATAAGTATAAGAATAAAAATAAGTCAATAGAAAATAGAATAATATTCAATAGACAATCTTAAGTACCTATATTATAAGTGAATGATAAAAATGTGCTTTAATCAGAATCCACATTCAATAATACAATTTTTACAAAAATAATTGAAAAATTATAAAACCTAAGTTTAAATAAAATTTTAAGCAAGTATGAAAGAAAAAAAATTATTGTCTTAGGCTAATTTTAAAATCTAATAGTTATTCATTTAGGTTACTTAAAAAATAATTCATAATTTGTTAGTAACATTCTATGTCAAGCAATTAAAAATTATGTACTTTTTTTGTTTTTAATCAGTGTTAAAATAAAGTCATATTTTCAAGTTAAAAAAAAATATAAAATAATAAATATAATTTTTTTATTTGAATGAAAATTATAAATAAATATGTAAGTATTAATCAACTTATGTAAATTTAAATTTTATTCTTTGAGTTGGTAACCAAATTAGTTATATATGGATATTATTTTTTATTATTACTATTTTTATTTAATCGAATTTTACATGCAGAGTAAATTTAATAAACAATTTAGTTTATTCTTATTGTGATATGGCATTGTAATAATTTTTTTTTTTTTATCAGACATTTTTTATTTAAGTTTTAATTGTATTTTGATTTCTGTAATTGTTATAAGAGCATAAACTAAAAAAAAATTGACTTAGATGAACTAATTTACTAGATATAATAAAATTTTTCAAAAATCTAAATTATTTCCATTCCTGTCCCTATGGAATATTATACAGATATGATTTTTTTTTTAGTTAGTATAATTGAGTGGCACAAAGTCTTACTGTAATATCTGTCTTATTTGATATTTTTTAAAATCAATTGTTTAATATTCTTATATTACAGTTAATTTCAAAACATTATTCTGTATACATTTAAACATACCCTTTAAATATTATTTTCAAATATTTATCAGAAACATATTGTACTAATAATAGTTGTTCCTCACTAACAACCATCCTTCGTTTAATTATTCTGGGTCAATACTAATTATAAAAGTTCTCAACAAAAAATTCATTTGAATATTTGTATAAATTATATGTTTAAAATAGTTGTTATTTTAAACAAATTATTGTATTATTAATTAATTATTGTATTCCAATTTAAGCTTAAAGAAATAAATAATATAAAAAAAATATTCTATTATTATAATTTATTTAACAAACGATTTAATAAGGTGAAAAATAATAAGGTAATAAAAAATATTACAAAATTTCTCATTTTTGCCAATAAATAAATTTTTATGTTGAAAGTTCTCCTAGCTTAAAACACTAATTATGCTTATATATGTTATAAATTAATTATTTTTAATACAAGTTGGCATTGGATTATTTTATGTTTTAAGTACACTAAAAATTCAATTTTCAATCGTTAACATTGATATCACTTTCTTCTTCGGGAGTTAATGGGCGAGACTTTGGTTGCGTTAAATCCATTGTATCTGACATTATTGATACATTACCATTCATGTCTGATCTGGAGTTGCGGAAATGAGCTGAACGTTTACTTAAAAAGTCGTTGTCTAAAAAACAAACGTATCACTTTCAGTTAACAAATTTGATAATTTCAAATATAATAATTAAAAATTATGTAATGACTGGTTAACAAATATTGTTGAATCACGGTCATTTATATATGATCATAATTAAACCAAACTTCATAACCATAGTTTGTTACGTTAGTGTAACGTTTTTAAAATATAAAAATAACAATAAACTAGAAGGATAATTATGAATAATATAATATACATAAGTTTTATTGTGATATATTTTTATTATTTATAGCCTACTAGATAAGAGATGTGGATTTACCATGTGACGAATAAGGACAAAACAATTTTGGAGAAAGAGTATGGGTTGTAGCAGAACCAACAATAGATGACCTTTCTGACGCTGGAAATCTGAAAGAAAAAAAAATTATTTTAGATTTTGTTAATTATATTTTACAAGTAATAATAGATTGTTTAATAAAGTCACTTTCGAAAGATAAAATATCTGACTTGGTAAATAATCTTTTTGAAATTATAGAATATACATTTGTAGTAGGACTGTCTTTATTTAGTAATCTGATACATTTTTAATATATTTATTTAGCTTATTGTATGTCTACATGTAAATTAAATTTACTAAGAGTAATTGTAATTACGGACTAACAAGCCGTCCCGGAGTATCAATGGTTTTGAAACCTCCTCTTTTGAGGAAGGCTTCTATGGTACTTAGTGGGCGTATAAAGCGTTAAAAAAAAGAGTAATTGTAGAATAATTTAATGTATTATATTTTTATCTTGACAAGATAAATAATCATTATCTATATTTTTGAATTCATATTTAATAAAATGTATTTTGAAGTCTCACGTTTGTAGCATTCTATAACTTCCTGGTATATGAGTGGGTGACGGTAAGGATGTTCGGACAGATATTGTTGATTCTTTACCTTCCTTCAAATTCTTAGATGTTTCTGGTTGGTGTCCTATAAGAAAAATTAAAATTATATTTTTATTTTAAATTTTATAATTTAGTATCGATAAAAAAAGAGTTCACCTAAGAGAATTGATTGCGTATTTAGACCCATGCATCGGATTCGCCATGCATCCTGAATTATTTGAAGCCTGGCATGTTTGCGCCATTTAGCTCGGCGATTTTGGAACCACACCTTAAAAAAACAATAAATAATGAAATGGCTCTGTGCAATAACTGAATTTTTCATATATTTTTTTCGAATTTTACATTTTTTAATAGTTAATAATTTTAGTTAACCCAATCCATCAGTAAGAAAAGCTAATGTTATTAAAATAAAAACATCTGATATGCAGAATTAAGTCAAAAATTGAATTTTTTTTTTCGGAGAAACTAAAATAAAGAGGAGAATTAATTTTAGCGCTGTATCTTACATTATTATAAATATTTTAGTTCTTATTTAAAACAAAAAGGTTTGAAAATCACGGAGAAGTGTTTTGATTACATAATTAAAGATAAATAAATATTCATTAATATGTTTTAACATAATTCTTCTTATTATTATTATAAAATATTTGTCCAGGCCTAAAAATAGAGTATTGACGAAATGTAGCCTTATTATATGTAATTTTACGGATATAACTATTTCTATTACTTTGTTCACTTCTGTATTCTTTGTTCATGTACTTTTAATTAAAAACATAACTATAATAAATATAGAAGTTCAAATAGGCAGGTGAAATGAAAAATTAACATTAGAAACCCACAATATTCATCATACATTTTTAATATATTATATTTAAAAATATTTTGATTCCTATTATTATAGATTAATTCATAGCCTGTTGTTTATATACTATCATTTAATTAGAATAATTCACACAGTTAAGATTAGTGCATGAGAAATAATTTTTTTTTATTTAAAATTTAAGTACCCTACTGAAATTTGTACTAATAAATAAACAGTAATTATATTTATTAAATATGATATCAATTATTTTCAATAACTCATTTAACTAATTTTACCTAATTTACTAATGTAAATTAATAATTATTGTGTAAAAATGTGGGTTTCAGGCAATAATTATCATTAAATATTAATTATATTTTACTTGGAATGCTCAAAACTTTAAAAAAAAACATTGTAATTAAATATTTAAAAATACAAATTTTAATATATCTTATTAAAAGTACTATATTTAATAGAATACAATAGATAATATGTTAGTAATAACTTAGAAAATATGTAGTATAATAAACTTAATAGAGTAAGTTGAGTTGTACTTAAGGTACGGATTTTATTAGATGTATTTTTTATAGTATTAATTAATAGTATACTAAATTAATGATATAAATGCTGTATTAATTTAATATAAAAATTATTAGACTGTATTATTTGAAATGATTTATTGATATACTGAATTAAAATTTTAAACACTGTATATTAATTTTGTTTTAACTTACTTGTACTCGAGCTTCAGACAAGTTTATTTGAAGAGCTACTTCTTCTCTAAGAAACACGTCTGGATAATGTGTTTTTTGAAAAAGTCCTTCAAGTTCTTGAAGTTGCTGTGGTGTAAAGGTTGTTCGATTCCTTCTCTATTACATAAATATATATTTAAATTTATTATAAATAAAAATTAATGATTATAAATTAAAAAGGTAGAATTTTGATTACACTTGCCTGTCGACGTCTGCCAAACATATATTCTGACAAGAGATCTCCAGGCAGCGGTGATAAGTAAGGTCCTCCGGCCATTGTGATGTAAGGGATGAATATGATTTCGAAATTTAACTGACAATACAGATACATCCCTTTGGAAAATCGCAACCCTACAAGAACTACCACTATTGGTCACAAACGATAGCCAATGGTAGCGCTAGGTGAAACGCAGGGTGAGATTCACACTGCGCTTAGAAGACGAAAAGGTATAGACAACAAGTATACTTACTTTTAAATGCTTATAACTCATTTTTTAAGCATTGTATAAATCCAAAATACTTATACAAGGGGATTATTTTAATGGTAGCAATTCAATAAAGCTTAGAATAATAACTATGTCAAGAAAATTATTTTTGGTATTTTTTAGTTTCATAGATTTTTTTATTTGTCAATTATTAAACATTTTTTTAAATTTGTTCCTTATACCTTATAAGATAGTCAACTTAAAATTATTAATGGCAACATACATATTTAACAAGCTTATAAAATAAAAAATTAACTAAATAAGAAAATGACTGGTCGAAAAAGATTTTTGAAACAAAATTTTTGTTTAGTATTTGAGATGTTATTGACATTTTTAAATATAGAGTGGAGGAAAAGCGCGTCGGTGTAATACGTAATGATAGAAATAACAAACCTCACCTCTACTCTATATTTAAAAATGTCAATAATTTCTCAAATACCGGTTCAAACGATGTTATCTACCGTTATTTTCTTAATTAGAGAAGTTTTTTAATTTGTATAATTTAGTTAAATATGTATGTTGTAAATTAAATAAACCAAGTTGAAAACCTTATAAGGTTTAAGGAATGGCCGAAAAAATAACTATCAACTAATAAACCGAGAAACTAAATAATACAAAAATAATTTTTTTAAATAGTTATTATTTTAAGAGAAATTGAGTGACTAGCGTTAAAAAAATCACCTAGTATATTAATCAAAAATAAAATAAAATAAATTGTGCTATTCATAAAATTAATGTTAGCATTTTTTTATTAAAAAGCAAATCTTAATAAACATTATTCTTGAATTTCATAACAGCTATGAAATTTGAATTATTAATAAAATTGTTTATTTTAAAATGAGCTTATTTGATGCAATCTAAAGGGATTTACAAATTTAAAAAAATAAATTTTTGTGTAAAAAATATTTTTTAAAGTGGGGAATTTCAATTTAATATCTATAATTTCTTTTTTTCGTTGTAATTATATAGAGCTAATCAAAATATTAGTTTAATTATTTAATTCTAAAGGCTTATTAAAGGTTTACAGTTTAATGTTTACGATAGTCGAGTAACTTGTTATTTTATTTGAAGTAATTAAATTTGTCCCTAGGAATAATTAGAGGAAATCATAAGGTTTTCTTTTTTATATACTATAAATACTTCAAATTCAATAGGTGTATTGACTGATAATGAAGCGTAGACAAAAAATAAGGCGTGTCCTTCCGACTGAAAATACAAGGGGTGGAGGGTGATTATATTATTTGATATATTAAAGTTTATGGGGTTACTGTATAGAGATCCCTCTATTGTATGTTCAACAAGTAAACCTAAAATGCATTTGTAAGTTATTTGATTTTAGAATTATTATTTTACTATTAACAAATCTTAAATTGCCCGCAATTTTTTTTGTACACATATTTTGCAATAATGTAAATATCACGTTAAATCTTAAGAAATAAAAAACAAACGAAATAATTATTTTGACACAGTAATAACCAGAACATACCCGTTCACACAAATCACATTCCATATACAAAGACGTAAGTCCAAACACTTTTTTTTTAAGAATAATTTTTTTTTAATTGTACAAATTTTACAATATTTTCCTAAAATATCTATTATCTTTATTCTTTGATTGACTATATTTTAATTTATACAGAGGAGTTTAGTATAGATATTTTATACTAATAATATATATTTTTAATAATAACCAATTTTTGACCTATATTATTAATGTAGAATCAATTTTTCAAATTATCATTATTATTATGAATAGTATATATATATTTAAACATTAAATACAATTGAATTACATTATCTTGGTAGATCATTTATAATAAACTCATTATCTCTAATAGGCACAATTCCCATACAGAATCGTATTCTATTGTCACTGTTAATAAACAATAGTTTTTGAAAAAAATAAAATAATGACAGAAATTAAATTTTTTCTATTGCAACATAATCGGGTCTGGTCGAAATAAATTATTTTTTGGTGACGAATAAGTTTAAATGATTTGGAAAACGAATTCAGTGAATTAAAATTTATGATGGTAGATGGATCATATCAAAAGTACAGATCACTTTAATTTTTCTATACCTGTGTTATGTTTCAGTTAGAATTATCTATGTACTAGTAAGGAATAAAACAAGTTACGTATATGCAAGCAAAAAAAACGCACATACATAAAAGATAAATTATCAATAAAAAAAAATCTGGTCAACATGATTTGTTATTAAATGGATATTATAACAGTACTCATAAATATATTAAACCTATAATACTTTGAAATACCCTTTTAACATACTACCCCTTTTAATAAATATATTGTACTCTTAACGATATCAGGTAATGATGATTTATAATAAATATAATGGTATCGAATAAAATTAATTTCTTGTTAATAATTAAGTTCTTTTAAAAAGTTTTCATAGTTTTAATATTTTGTGTAATTAATGAATTATAATAATGATAATAAAATTATTTAAACATAAATAGTGATTTGTTATCATTATCCAATTAATTATAAAATAAAAATTATTTTGGAATAATTTCTTTATTAGCATTTTAAAATATAGACTGCAGGTAAAAAGCGGATGCTTTTATTTTTATCATTGATTAATTTTCCAGTTTTTTAATTAAATTAATATTTGTTTAATAATCTAGTTAATTATATATGTTACTATTAAAATAAATAAAGTTGCTATATAAATATGTAACTAAAAAAACCAAAAAAAATATAATTCCGAATTTTTTGTTTTTTTTTGTATTTAATTGAGTTGGTTTTGATAAATAGATAAACGTAAGAATTCAAATTACCGAAGTATTTCTTCAATTCTCACTCTTTTTTTGTATATTTTATATTATAAATATATTACTTATATAATAATCTGTTTGAGGAACTGTGAAAACCTCATCGTTAAGGGTTTTTGTGGAGTCATTTTATAAAGAAATAATTTGTGTATAAATTTTGAATAAATTATTAATTTATTAATATTTAATTCATTATTTACGTTTGAAAAAGTTTATATTAATAAAATTGTATGGTATTATTAATAGCAAAACAATAAATTTTTCTTAATGTTACGTTTGTTTCAATATTTCTTATATGCAATATCATCAAATGACTTTTATAAAAAAATATTTTACAAAAGGTATGTCAATTTCATTAATTTTTCAGGAGTACAAATCAAATTTAATATTACAATTAAGTCTTACGGGAACTTACATTTCGGACATACAAAAACAAATCATTTCATTAAAATTGAATTATAATTTTTCAATATAAAACATTTTACTACAAACAAATTATGAAAATTTAATAACCCATTTTTGTGATGGTCACCTTTAGAAATAAGTTAAAATTTAATAACAATAAAGCATATTTATTTAAGCTATTCAGAAGCCCTAAGCACTAATTGAAAAACGATTCTCTGACTATCTTTATTTTTGTAAGATTCCAATATTTAAGTGACATAATTTTTTTATTGAAAATGGTATTCAAATAAGTGAAATAGCAAAAAGATTTACAAAAATAAATTTATAAGCTTTAGGTGAAACCGTAATTTGGCCTAGGTAGACAAGACTTTTGCTTGGGGTTTGTAATTTTAGTGGCCATCTTGATACGTTAGATAGTTTAACTTTCTCGAAAAATACATGAATATACAGAATGTTCAGTAAGTAAGGAAACGGGTAAATAGTTACAAACAATGAGAACAATAGAAACCCGTTTCCTTACATACTATACATTCTAAATATTTATTCAACATAATATATTAATGCTAGTAGATGTTCACTCGCAAAACAAGTTACTTGGTATGTAATTATAGAATAGATAATAATTGTATAAAAATAGTTCATAGTATAAAAGATTTAGGTGTATATTTGTCGAATGATTTGTCTTTCAGAACATATAACTTTTATAATATAATATGTCTAAAAACTTTATACTTTGACTTAATTAAGTGTACGCTAGAGTATGCTTCTATCATTTGGTCTCCCTTTCAAATGAAAGAAATAAAAAAATTAGAATCTATACGAAATAAATTTTTACGTACTTTATCTTATAAGTTAAATGTACATAGTTTCGCTGATAGTAATTCACATATCGACTTTGGGATGTCTACCCCTTCAAGGTATAAGAAAATTTAATGATGTGAAGTGAATTTATAATTTGAATAAATAATAAAACTGATTGCCCAGATATTTTAAACAAAATCAATTTTCATGTACCTACTACTAATCATAGAGAATCTTTCTTTTTTTTATTTACCTACACAAAAACAAAATTATAGTCATGACTCGCCACTACATCGAATGTTACTGTTTTGTAACTCTTTACATGACTTTGATTTCCATCACCATAATTTAGCCGTGTTGAAGAAAATGATACGTTAAATATTATTTTATATTAAATAATAATTTAAATTTGCTTATTTATATTTCTTTTTTCTGTTTTAAAAAATAATGCTAAAGTAATTTTGATTTTGTAATATTATAATTTGTAACTACATATTATCATGAGCTCCTTAAGCGAATAGACATTTATTTTGATTAAATTAAGAGATACTTCATGATATTTTTAAAACAAGTTTTTAAATAATTATTTTTTGTGCTTATAATTCCATCATTTTGCGTTGAAAAACAAAATTAATTTGTTTGGTAATTAAGTATATTAATATTAATCAATTTAATCGTATAATAAAAAAATAAATACAAAAAAGTAGTTAATAAATAATTTAAACGTTAAAATTTGTAAAATGATATCTGTAAATATCTTATAAGAGTACATTAACACACTTACTAGATATTTGAGTAATTTACAGTTTTGGCGCACGTATCTTAATGTTTATGTTGAATTTAGTATGTAAGTTGAATAGAGTTGAGCAATAAGCGAAATAAACATAATACAATAAAATTTTTTTTTAGAGAAATAAGCAAAACTCACTACGGGAATACATTTTTATCATTATTTATTTTTATATCTCACCTCATCCGCACGCCTCTTATTTTAAAGGCGGAGTTTTAAAATACCTTTTGTTTTCAGGCAAGTCTTTTCATTAAGCTAATAGACTGACGCTGTGCGTGTTGCGGTAAAAAATTCATTATACATAATATATTTTTTACTATTATTCATTGGAAGATACGAATATAATAGCAGAAAGGCCTTAGGGATTTACTTATATAGGTATAACTGTATAAGTTTTGACTGCAGAGAATTTCATCAAGTATTCTACGGATGTGTCTAGTACCCCTTTAAAGAGAAAGAAAGGGTACCAGAGAGAGGAAGAATGACTGGGTAACGAAAGGAAATCATAATAATAATAATAATAATAATCGTAATGATTATAAACGAACGAGCAACACTATGGTAGAGCGACTAAAGAAATAACAATAGAGTTATTGCAAACAAAGACTTTTGACTGACTGACTGCGATGAAGTGAATGAGTATATTTGGTTCATGATGTTTTCATAATCTTCTGGCCAAGTCCTTGTGCCTTTAACAATGGGTTGCGCACGCTGCCGCCACCACAGAGCCGTTTTTAATCATAAAACCCTAAAAACCGATCCGCCCAGCAGCCATTGTACACCTCCGATCTATCGTCCGAGTAAACAATAATGTATTAAGTAAACAGATGGTATGGTATAAATTTACGCATCATAATAGTGTAGGGGTTGACGAAGCAATAATTATTTTCAGAGACAATTCAGTGAATAAGAATAATATTAGAACGTTTAATTATATTTTAATTTTTCAAAATCATATTTAAGAAATAGAGTTAAAAAAATTTTGATTGCGCCAGAGTATATTTTCATAGATAAAGTTTTAGTATGTCCAATAGACATATAGATTTATGAAATGTAAAAATTATACCATGCTTCTTCTTCTTCGCCTTTATCCCAACTACTTGGAGTCGGGCGACCAGAAAATTATACCACACTATGTTTTGATATTAAATAACATCAAATATAACATATAGTAAGTTTTAATTTCCTAAAATTTGTGAACATTTTATGAATGTTTTAAAGCAATTTAATATTTTAACAAAAAATTTAAAAAAAGTTAAATTAATTTAAATGCCACCTAATGAGATTTGTAATTTCAAATTAAAAATATATCTTACTGAGTGGATAGTTTCAAAAATAAAAA